CTTCCAGATCAGCACTAGGAGGTATGGCAAAGGTGAATCCTCTTCCTCCGTTGATTCGATTCTCCCCTACTCAGTGACAGATTACTCTTCTCTTGTAAATCTTGAAAGAAAAGATTGACTCATCATCAATCATTCTTCTTACCTGCTCCTCAGTCACTTCAAAAGCTCCTCACAGGACAAGAAAGCAATGAACACATCTGAATTCATCGAAATACCAACGATTAACAAAAGGAAGATAGCACGTACAATCGATATCCGAATCCCTTTGTGATGAACCAGACGATAGTAGGTACCAACCCATTCATCGTTCCCGTCATCCTTCATCGAGAAGAAACATACTACTCGTATACTTGGATCTGAAAAGAAGGAACAACATACTACAGCTCACCAGTAGATCTTACCTGTTGCTAATTTACTTCGAGAAATCCAGACATAACAATGAAGCATTGCACGACCGCTTCATATAGTATCTGAGCAGTCAAAATGCAAGCTGTTATCAGGGGAATCCTCATGATCCTCCACTACTCAGCTAATAAATCATTCTCATCTTGTAAATCTTGAGAGAGAGGACATGAGCTCATTCTCAATCCTTCTTCTTACCCGCTGCTCATTCACTGAAAATAAGAAATACAAGAGAGATAACACCATGACGTACGATCAATTCCCAAAGCTCCTCAACTGAACCGGATACTGAGAGATATCAACCAATTAGTCGTTCATGCCAGCTCCACCACACAGTATCAGTTAGTCTCCAGCTAGTCTGGTAACACAGGAGTGCCTTCAGCATTCTTTGTTCTGACAAAGCAGTTGCACCTATCAATAACAATCAGTTCATCGGGACAGTATGAAAGCACCTACTGATGAAAGACATACATTACATTTCAGAAACATATCAACTAACCTCACTTCTGCAGAGGATATATAGTATCGACTATGACAACCAGAGCTTCCTTCCTAATCATCCTGAACAACGATGAGAGAGATAAACTTGGTAAGACCGAACAACTTCCTAAAAGTATTGAAGTGAGAAAAAAACGCACCGTTCGAACCGAGTTCCTTACTCTTAATCAAACAAGAATAAACTTTCAATGATGAATCCAGAGCAACTGTTCAATCCTTCTTTTCTTGTGGAAGTCAAAGCTACGGCCAGCCGAATAAAGCTCCATCTGAAACTAACCAGCCTGGATAGAGTACTCTCTGTTCGC